GTCACTAATGGCCTATGAGGACTATTTAAGAAGGCCTCGGCTACATGTTATTTAAGTTTCTTACATAATTCATTGATTAATAAACCACCAGTTTTGGACGTTATTTAACCGGTGCCGTTTATTAACGAAACATTCTGTCCCCAAAAGACAAAAAAGATGTGGAAGGGAAAAACTCCCGTTTCAAATAAATGAAATAAGTCACAAAGTCCTAAAACCGCGAAACAAAATGACATTATCTTAAAAATTCGAATGAAACCATCCGTTTACCAAGGCGTCCGTATTTTCGATCACCGACGCGACCAGCACTTTTCCTTGGCAGAAGAATTTTCGCACCTCGTTCGCCCAATGGGAGGTCAGCGTCCGGGGACAGAGTACCAACGACTTGACGGGGTGACGAAGGGCGTCAGTGGTGACACGCGACGATGCGATGTGCGCGTGGGCCGTCGCCATGATGCACAACGCCTGAAGAGTCTTACCCAAGCCCATGTCGTCGCACAAAATGCCGTGCAAGTTGTACTTGATCAAGAACGACAACCACTTGACGCCTTCCTTCTGGTAGGGGCGCAGATCGACGCTCGTAGATGGTATGTGCACTGGCGGCAGTTTCGATGGACAGGTGAGCAGGTGGAAGAACTCGACGCGCTCAGTCCTCAACACTTCCAGCTCCGTACATAGTCCGTCGATCGTCCCGTCGCACGAATCCAAAGGCATGATCCTGATCAGATGACGAAAACAGTGGGACGCGCAATTCCTGTGGAATATGCACTTAAAAAGAAACAATACAGAATAGTTTAAAGTTAAAACAACTCGCCCTTACATACATTATTTAGAAACTGGACTAGAATTGGCAGCACCAAACCAGAATGGGTAGGCAGGTATTCTGACAAAATACGTTAAGGGCTTAAACATTAAGCCAAAGACGACACCACAACGATGACAGCAAAAGCGGGGCTCGTCGTAATATATTAAAAACTAGATTAACTGATTCAAATCCTGTGGAAACAAATCAAGAAATAGACAGCTAGTCAGTGACCTGTGATAATCGGTACTTTGGTATGATGCATTGGTGTAATCGTGTCAGCCTTTGAGATTTTCAGCAACGCACCGACAGCTCAAATTTTAGCCTCAGACTCAGACCTTCGGAAGCATACCGTAAAATCCACACATTAAACAAAAAATAAATTGTCTTCAAATGTTCATGCCGATTCAGTGTCGATGGGTAAAAAACAGTCCCCTAATATGATGGCTGGAAGCATAAAGTCAATTGCTGCATTGGCACTGTCAACAACGTCATGTCAGTAATCACCCGGTACAAAAAAACTGAAGAACTGATAATCAGAAGTGAAGCTAAACTGCACGAACAAGAGGAAAAAACGGTGTCCCGGTGTAGTCATCGTCGAGTCTGCAATAGTAACGGTCTTG